AATTCACTAAGCCTAGTGCAACAGTGAAAAATAAGTTCTCATCAATTTGATTGGGAACTCTATTATTGCTAGGATTGCTCCTCAATTGATTAGCCTAAGAAGTGGCAGTGGCTGTATTATTGGAAACTGGAAGTTGAGGCAATAAAGGCCTTGAATTCGCGCCTGAGTAGAGATTTGTGTACTCAAGTATGGCAGTGGTAGTGGTGTTATCAAATTGCCCATTTCTGATTGTGGCATAAGCACGAGCTGCCATATAGTATCGGCCAGGGGACTGATTAGCAGTGAGAATTACATTAGTTGTTTTTCCAATTGATTTGAAATAGTGGTACATTGGTCTTCTTGGCTGAATGCAAAGAAGAGGTATCTTTTTTTATCTTCATATATATGATTTAAGATTTTATAGTTTCTAGAGGTTTGTATGTGCTCATTAGTTTTTCGTCACTTGTCTATTCTCTTGGTGGGTTAAATCTTGTAGAATGTGAAAGGGAAGAGAGAAGCAAAGAGGGTAAACAAGATGATGGAAGGATATGAAACCTTTGATAAACCAGAAATTATTGGCTTTCGGAAATCTTTACAACTCTCTTTAATGCTTGTGTCTTCATCATGCCTTTTCTATGACAACATATCTCTCTCTCTCTCTCTCTCTCTCTCTCTGTTGTGTTGTTAATAATTCACCGATGGGACGCGACGGTTGTATTTTAGTCGGTCGGGGGAAGCGGTAGCTTCGTGCTCCGCTTCTTTCGCGAATTGCCTCCGTGACTTGTAGACTATGCACGAACAAGTAGAACATAGTGGTTTGTTGAAATGTTCTCTAATTACATTCGTATCGAATTGTAATTGTATGTGCTATGTTTTTGCTATAACAAGGCTTTTGTCTATTTTTAATGATGTTGATGCAGTACCTCGATCAACTATTGATGATGAATATGCTAATGCATCTGAAAAAGATCCCAAAATTTTGCTTACCACTTCAAGAAATCCTAGTGCTCCTCTTACTCAGTTTGTCAAGGTTGGTGTACCCTTCAATTATCCTATTATTATATTACGTAGTCCACCATTCCCTTCTAACTCTTTCTTTTAGAAGTCATTATATAGGAAACTATATATTTTTTTAATTAGACACTTCTCATTTCCTATTCTTTCCTTTTCCATGTTGTTGTATGGAGACAGGAGTTGAAAATTGTGTTCCCTAATGCTCAGCGGATGAATCGTGGTGGTCAGGTTGGTCTGCTATTGGGAATTATTTTCTTGTTTAATATTTCTATCATTACAAGCTATCAGAGATGGCATTGGAGCTTACAGCTTGAAAGATCCATAATAAGAATTGGTACTTTGTCTCTTAACTTCATGTCGGAATAGGAAGAGGTGTTCCATTTGTTTAAGTTGCAATTTAAACATGTGTATATGTACATTTTTGTGTCTTACTTGTATACTGGAACACAGAGAGTACCAGAATAATGTATCAGGCTCACATATATACACTCCTGCAAACCTTCTAGAAAATTTTAATTGAATATAAAAAGAAGAGAACAGATGGCCATGGATGTCTCGTATTTGCTTTTTTAATGAAAAGAGCTCTGATTCTTTGACTCTTAGACCCCTTGTTTGTGCAGGGAAAGTGATTTGTCATAATCACTTATTAACATCTATGTGCTTGCATAACAAGCTATTTAGTTCTTAAAGCCTATGTTTCTTGGATTCTTCAAATGTCATCGTGGTGCATGTCGGATCCTCCAAACGTAGTGCATTTTTGAAGCATTGAGTTATTTGGAGAGTCCAAGCAGCACAACTTCAAGATATTTACGGTTTTACAATTATCTTCTATTTGTTTATCATATGTTCGTATTTTGCTCATATTTCTTTTTATTTTCAGGTTATATCAGAAATAATTGAAACCTGCCGATCTCATGATTTTACAGATGTAATTTTGGTCCATGAGAATCGTGGTGTGCCTGATGGTATTGTCATTAGTCATTTGCCTTTTGGTCCAACTGCTTACTTTGGATTGCTCAATGTGGTAAGTGGTCTTACTCTTATGCTGTTAAGCGTAGAAGTCTTCTGCTGTCTATGTGAGTTGTTAGATGATGTCCTCATCTACTATTTCATGCAGGTGACTAGACATGATATTAAGGACAAAAAATCTATGGGAACGATGTCTGAGGCGTATCCACACTTGATTTTTGACAAATTTTCAACTAAGGTAATTCCTGACATCCCTTTTTCGATAAAGAGCGAAACACATGCATTTCAGTAGATTTTCTACTGACATTGAGATTTTTAAAACTGGTTGATCATGTCGCCAAAATCAGTTACTGGATGTTTAGATAACTCTTGAATATCTAGAGTCTTTGTGTTCTTAGTGTAGCATCTTATATACTGTTCTATACTCACCAGGTATATTTCGATCATGCAGCTTGGTGAGAGGACAGTAAACATCCTAAAGCATTTGTTTCCTGTTCCGAAGCCTGATACAAAACGTATCCTCACATTTGCTAACCAGTCGGACTACATCTCATTCAGGTTTGTTTCTTGTTCAGTCTCATTAAGTTCTACTTTAGCAATGGAGGTTGTTAGTTGCTGTTTAGTTTTACTTGAGTACAAGGCATGCTGGGGATAATGGCTCAGCAATGTTTTTTTTCTATTTGATCCTCGATCCACAGATTTCTCATTTTGGTAACTTGAAGCCATACAATTAGAATGAAGCTTGTAAACAATTGCTTTGGCATTAGCTATCTTTAAACAATTAGATATATTTTCGCTGATTGTGCCAGACTATGTTCTAGATTCTTTTTTGTAACATTTTGTTGTTTTTTCCTGAAGTTCATCAATTTAGGGATGTTTCTTTTAGTTGTTTTAGTCATTAGCTTTTACACATTTTGTTCCAGACAATGTTTCTCTGGGACTCTTAAAATATGTCAATGGGTGTGCGCAGATTCTCCCAAAATAGTGTTCTTGGAGAATTGAACACAGGTGCAACAACGTAATGGAAGAGTACGTGCAACCTAGGTTGCGTCAGAAATCATTAACCATTTCTTTATTCCAAATGGTGAGGTCCATGGATTTTCCTGAACTATTCTAACATATAGAGAAGTGGCTAAATCCATGATATGCTACATATTTTTGCTTCTCAAAATATTAATAGATGATAGAAATAGACAGACAAATGGATTATGACAAAGACCATGCAAAATACAAGTTGGAATATCCTGCTTAAATTTCATTACCTCTCCTGTCCAACTCCAGCAGGAGGGAGCAGTAGTTTTTCCCACTTTACTCACTTGATTGACTCAAACCACCAACCGCATGGGTCGATCTTAGCATGATTGCCATATATGAAATTGTTGCAAAGAAATAGCCCCCACTTGTTTCTCGAGAAGAGATGAGAAAACATGCTCAATATCATTTGATTGAATAGTTGAACCAGTCCCTTGTTTGAAGAAACCCTCCACTTCAATTGGTATTTTTTTTCATGAAAAGCATGCATAAGATAAGAAATCCAGTGTTTCACTAAGATTTCGAATAATCCTCTGGTGGAGGTTCCTTACCACTAGGCTATCCCTTGGTTGTCTTGTTAACTGACAGGATAGATAAAAATAGGTATAAATTTGATGATTTACCAGATATGCAGCTCCCCCCTTCCCTTTTCTTTATACTAAATTTGATTGAAACATGCAGACATCACGTCTATGAAAAGCATGGAGGTCCAAAATCAATTGAGCTGAAAGAAGTTGGCCCTCGATTTGAACTACGGCTTTACCAGGTAACAATAATTATACCAAGACTAGTTCATCATATTTGTTTGCATCCATGTTTATAAATAATCTTGAAACTGTGTAATCTTGACTTCTCTTCGTTTAGCTGCCCGACCTATGTTTTCCACATCTACATATTCCTAGAAAATTATTTGGAACGACTAAAGAGAAAAAACTTGCTGCAAGTTCTCTTATCTGCTTCATGATAATAGATGTCAAGCAACAAAACCAGAAGGGATATTAAGCTCTTCTCCAAGAGTTCACTAATATATGTTTTATCTAGCTCGAGAAATTTATCATATTAGTTTAACGGATTTGTTTTTGTCTTGAAGAATCAGTCCCTGAAAATGTGCTTTATTTAGTACACTTGCCCTGTCTCTGTCATGTGAATTCCGTGCTACGTTGTAAGGAATGTGTGATCACCTTGATTCGTATTCTATCTGTTACTGATTGCTCATTCCTGATCAAGTTAATTGTTTTTCAATGTATAGATCAAATTAGGAACAATGGATCAAGACGAAGCTCAAATCGAGTGGGTCATAAAGCCTTACATGAACACATCCAAAAAACGAACCCTTCTTGGGGACTGATAAACGTGCAACAGAATATGAACTTTGAAGCCTCTGCCTCTTCCCGTTTGCACTACCAGAAGTTGATCTTTGCTGCAAGTCATGTATTCGACCATCGAAATGCAGATGTGATTGATCCTAGAGCTACATTTGACGTAATATGCCGCTTCCTGTTCCAGAGAGATGCTGTAAAATCTACCTCTGTAGGAAAAGAAAAGAGAAACGAACTCTCTTTGTTTTAAGTAGTTATTTGGTTTTTTTTTCCTCAACTGGTGGTAATATAATGTTATGTGTACTGTGCTAAAAGAAAATTTTGATGTCAAAGTTGATTTATCACTTCTATCTTGAGCTTTATTGCAAGATTAAAGAGCAAAATATGGTGAATTCTTTCTGTTTTGATCAATTTTATGATGTTTAGCAAAATATGGCTCGACTTCTCTTACAGGATTGGACAAATTTTTTTTAGCAGTTTTGGTTCAAACTCGATTTTACGTGCAAAAGATCTCTAAATACGTATAAACTCCGTCTTTTAGGTTACACTTGAGAGTTTTTTGAGTAATTAACACAAAACAAAAGAAAATACACTGAGTTTTTCGAGTAATATCAACAACATCAATCAATTGAGGTTATGTGTGGACTATTTATTATGAACAAAAACAAATCTATATTAAGGACAAAGTTGAGAACCAAGAAAATTGGTTTTACTGTAAAATTTATTTGCCATTGATTGTTACATGAGGAATTACATGTCTAAAAAGGAATAATTTAGAAGCATTTTCTATGCACAATGGATGGACCAGATTCATCATATTCTGCCTTTGCAATCCACATCTACATTTCAAAAAACAAACATAAAATTAATATTTTTAGATGTGAAGAAGTTAAAAAGAGAATAAATGATCAACGTTACCTGTTGGAAGGTACTTAAAGAAGCCAAAATTGAACCTCCAATCCAAACACTATACTTCCTCTCTGGTGGTGCAACCACCTTAATTTTCATGCTACTTGGAGCCAATGCTGTGATTTCTTTGCTCATTCTATCAGCGATTCCTGGAAACATAGTCGTCCCCCCGCTAAGTACAATGTTACCATAAAGATCCTTCCTGATATCAACGTCACATTTCATGATGGAGTTGTACGTTGTTTCATGTATCCCAGCAGCTTCCATTCCGATCATGGAAGGCTGGAACAGCACTTCAGGGCATCTGAAACGTTCAGCACCAATCGTAATCACTTGACCATCAGGCAACTCGTAGCTCTTCTCCACGTTTGAGCTAGTTTTTGAGGTTTCAATCTCTTGTTCATAGTCGAGAGCTATGTAAGATAGCTTTTCCTTCACATCCCTCACGATTTCTCTTTCAGCACTTGTTGTGAACGAGTACCCACGCTCTGTCAAGATCTTCATCAGGTGATCCGTCAGGTCCCGTCCAGCTAAATCGAGACGAAGGATAGCATGTGGTAGAGCATATCCCTCATAGATTGGTACCGTGTGACTCACCCCATCCCCAGAGTCCATGACAATCCCTGTTGTACGCCCACTGGCATATAGAGATAGTACGGCTTGAATCGCGACATACATTGCAGGCGCGTTGAAGGTCTCAAACATGATTTGAGTCATCTTTTCGCGATTCGCCTTAGGGTTTAGAGGTGCCTCTGTGAGAAGAACAGGGTGTTCCTCTGGAGCCACTCGAAGTTCGTTGTAGAATGTATGATGCCATATTTTCTCCATATCGTCCCAATTACTTACAATCCCATGCTCAATTGGATATTTCAAAGATAGAATACCACGTTTCGATTGAGCTTCATCACCAACATACGCATCTTTTTGACCCATACCAACCATAACACCCGTGTGACGTGGTCTACCAACAATGCTAGGAAACACTGCTCGTGGCGCATCGTCTCCAGCAAATCCAGCCTAGAAAAAATTACCAGTTTCTCAATTTCAAATCTCAAATTTCAAAAAATTTCTTTCTCTCTACTTACCTTCACCATTCCCGTTCCATTATCACACACCAGTGGCTGAATATCCTCACCATCTGCCATTGTTTAATCTACAATATCCATAGACACGATTTTGAATCATTCTCATACAATTTTAAATTCTAAATTCATGCCAAACACTAAACGATTAATAAACACGATATTGAATCATTTTCATATAATTCTAAATTCGTCGAGATTACCTTTTCGGGAGAGGGGAATAAACTGTTGGGTTGTGAGTGCAAATACAATATTTTTTTTTTCAAAAAGAAAAAAAAGAATCAACAAAGCAAAATTGAAATGAAACTCAACGATTCCAAAAGGCAATGAAATGGTCTTCTTTTTAAAAGCTAAAAAAATAAAATTCCCACATTTTTTGCTGTCTGTTATTTTTCTTTGGTATATATTTGGTCTTTGTTACTGTCTATGATCGCCACGTGTCACTTATTAATATGAGGTCCTACTTTTTATGGTTAGGCTTCTCCTCTTATTTAGCCCATTTAAACGGTTCAATTTTTAATTTGTTTTATCCCTTAGAAAATTCTATTTGATTTTAATTTTTTTGAAATAAAATCGATTGTGGTTGATCTATTATTATTTTTTTCATACGAAATAAAACTGATCAAGCTCGACCATTTAAATATTTGGTGAAAATTCTTTGATTTAAAAATACAATAAAAAGTTTTTTGTGATTGACAGGGGTATAAACATGAATATATAATATACTAATAATTATGTCTTACGTATTGTACATGTAATGTATCGATATCGTTAAATAGTTACGTAATGTATCGATATTGCATAAACGTGCATCCATATTGTATAATGATATATAAACATGTATATATGATTTGTGTACAAATAATTATTAGCGTCTATGTAATATATCAATATTGTATAGAGATGTATGAATATCATATATTGATATTATATAAACGATTTGGGGAACTTTCACCTATAGCCACTAAAAATAGCCTAATTATTTTTCGTAACTATAGTTGAATAATTAAAATTCGTAGCTACATGTTATAAGGAGGAGAGAGGCGAGCTAAACTGGGAGAGAGAGGAGAGGGGAAAAAATGGGAGAGAGGTGAATTGTATATGTATATTGGTTAGATAATTGTATCTTATACATATGTATTTGTATATATGGCAAGCGAGGTTTGGAGAGAAAGGAGATCAAAGAGGCGAACGAGATTGGGAGAGAGAGGAGAGAGGCGAGCAAGATTGGAAGAGACACGAGAGAGATATATGATAGAGAGTAGGAGAGAGGTGAATTGTACAACACACAAATTTAAACAACAACGTTTTAAAAAAAATAGCACAACAAGAAAAAATAGATAAAAGTTCCTTTTTCATAAATTAGAAAGAAAATGGCCAAATGGCAACTTGTCAATTTGGTAAGAACAATGTACGATTGGTCATTTTAAGTAAAAAAAAGTGTGAATCATTTTTTGTGCAAGAAATTCAACCCAACGAACATTTTGCATAATCTACCTTTAAAAGAATTATGCATAGATACTGTCTCGGTGGAATTTGTTGCACAATATCATTTATCTCAGTGTGGAGATACACTGATATATCAAAGAAAATAAATGGTGTAATACACATTGATATACATATGTATGTAAACGAGATACAATATGGATGTAACGACTTATTTTCGTCGTTATAGAAAAACCAATGGAGAAAGAGATTGGGCAAGAAAACTTTTGAGCAGTGAGTTAGAAAATTGTAGCCTAGTCCAGATTTGGACGAAATCTGAGATAGGTAAGGTCTTGGGAAATTTGATAATGAATGGGGGATCTGATTGTGTTGATCACTTGATTGGATAGTCAAGACGTTAAGGAGCCTGTACGACTTTAGGAATCGAATTCGGGCTGAAAGATCTTGGCGTGAAAGGGTAGTTTCTGAACGTCAAGGGTCGAAGACATGTTGTGAACTGGAATCTTGGAACTCAAATTTCGAGCTTCTGTCTCCGTGCAAGTCGCCAGGGCAGGTTTAATTCTGTCAGGGCGGGGCCGCGGTGGTTGGATGAGATCTGCCGTAGTGGGCCAGTCGCTACTTCAGTTGGGGGAATAATCTCAAAATCGTTATTTTCTACAAACCTTCGTTCTTGAGAGCTAAGAGACGACCACAGGCTATTTCTTGACAATTCCCATGACTTTTAGCGCTAAAGGTAAAGATTTTACTCTCCTAATCCGTTTTACAATCTGTAGAATTTAGATTCTTGATAGTTATCAATGTCTAATTGTCGTTCATATTGGAAACTGTATGTTGCTCTTGAAATGATAATGATCTGCGTATTTTGTATATGTGTGTTGTAATTTCTTGCCTATGTTTCGCTCACTGGGGTGGCTGTGTGATCCTACGTACATTATGGTTGTGTATTGATACTGCACTTGTTCGTTATTTGTTGAATACAAATCTTCAGGCAGCTATTGACGCTCAGCTAGGCAATAACTGATAGAGACTTGATTCAAGGGTGAGCTAGTTCTTCCAGGTTGCAATGGATCCTCCTTATTTAGTCCACTCTTTTCGGGCTCAGATTATTTATTTAGGCTGTTAGTTTTAGCTTTCGGGTTTGCATCCCTTTGTTTGTAGACTTGTTGATCATTAGAGTTTTGGTATAATGACTTTCAGTTCTATGGGTTGAACTTCCACATCAGTTATTTTGTTTGACCTTGGATTTTGTGGAAACTTCGTGATTTCATTTAGTCAATTAAACCTGCTTTCGTATCTTTAAATGCGTAGTTTCTATTAATTGCTTAGTTGAGTAGTAGTAATGGTTTTCCCACTGGAGAATTAATTAACGTGGGTATAAATCACGATGGTCTGGATCGTGACGACAAATATACAAATAAAGTCATTTTCAGACTCAAGATTTTAATGTGAAATTAAATCAAAGTCGCCTCAAAGCGTCTCCAAACACCTCCAAAACGGATATTGAACTCCTTAATAAGTTCATGATAAAACTCAATATTATCCTACCGAGATAAATCACAGATACACAAATCGCGAATCAAACTTATGTTTTAAAACTCTTTTATCATAAAAAAATTTGACATAAAACCCAAATGTAGAAAAATGGACACTGCAACACCAACATGAAATCAATAACTAATGGAGATTTATTAGAAAATATTGAAAGATTTTTTGCTAAAAGTTAAAGAGATTTGGCAAAAAGGAAGTAAATAAATTTGTAAAAAAATGTTCACTTTTATTTTGTAAAAACATTAGGAGGGAGGGGATACTGAATTTTTTTTTTGTGTGTGATTTTAAAGTTTTTTTTTTCTTGATATTGAGTGTGGGATCTTTTTGATATAAATATTTAACTTGGTTATCAAATGTCATATGCAAATGAGGTTTTTTTTGGTCAAAAATTATTTGCTCCTAACTTTGAAAATTTATCTAATATAAAAGAAAATATTTTTTTGATATTGAGTGTCGAATCTTTTAGATATATAATATAAATATTTGACTTGGGTTATCAAATGGCATTTGAAAATAAACTTTTTTATGTCAATTATTGCTCATTATTGTCATACTTCGCAAATTTATCTAATATATAAATAAAAGAATAGTTTTAATAATGTAAGCCCATTTTTTAAAAAACAAAATACCATCTTTATTGATTTATCTTTAATATAACTCGTAAGACTTAACACCAATAAAAGTATAGGCATAATATATAAATGTACTTTTTAACTTTGCTTCAAATTATATTTATGTCCTTTAATTTTGGATGTGCACAAATAAACACTTAAACTTGTATAAAGTTGAACAAATAGACACACATGTCCTACATGTCGTCCTACATGGCAGTTTTTGTCCTAAGTGGTATTCTACGTGTATTGTGCCATTTAGGAGTCATGTGCTTATTTATTTAAAAGTTGGATAGTTAAACTGTCTGTTTGTGCATTATGAAAGTTGGAGATGAAAGTTAAAATTTGAAACCAAGTTTAGGGTTCAATGTATGTATTGTGCCTAAAGTATATGGTGCAGACGTGCAGTGAATGGTAATTTTTTTTTAATTAAATATTTCGTGTTTGGAATTAGTCAGACTTTAATGAAAATATCGAACATCCAAAGAAAATCATTTTTAAAGACTTATCTATATAATCTGCATGAACAAATAGTAAGGATATTTGATACTATTACCAATTGAAATTTTCAAGATAATCTTTAAGTAATTACCCAAATAGGCCATAAAACAGGGTATATTTAAAAAACCCAAAAGTTATGTACTTGGAATATTCTCATTAATTGTACTAATATAGTATGTTAAATGTAGCCAATGATGAGAATCTTATTATTATTATTTTTTTAAAACAAAGTTTAGATCTTACATTGAGATAATAAAAATCATGAGATGCACTTGACCTTAACGTGGTGAGGACCTTTGTGAATCCCACTGCAAAAATATTCAAATAAAAAATTTAATAAATTCATTAAATTAATCGACTTGTTATATTTTAGTTTCATGCATGTGATTCCAAAATTAAAGACACCTTCTTTTGTTTTTTTTTAATTTTATTTTTCTCTTCATATGTATGATTGCAAAGCATATAGTATGATTTTAATACATTTTTTATATGAAGAGATGTGATGTAATCATCATTGAAAATTTATTTAAAATTTTGTGCAACTGGATAGGAACATAATTGTGTCAATTTTAATGAGTTGTTTCCTGTCGAGTTTGGATTATTTTTATATCTATATATTTTAAAATAAAATGAATTATCTAAGATTCATATTGTATATGTTTATTAAAAGTAAACTCAAAAGACATAAAAGATATCATTATAATAAAATCTAAACAATAATGTACATAAGAACAATAAAAGAGATAGTGATTTATCTAACGTGATGTCTAAGAAACTATTGATAAACGAATTTCTATTAGACTTCCATTCGTTAAAGTGTGATTATTTTATTTGAAAATTTAATTCATTAGAAAATATGTATTTATATTTATTTAATAGAAAAGGGTAAAAGAAATGTACTCAAATTACGTCAAATAAAACAATAACGCTTTCTATTTTTAATTTGGCTTAAAAATATCTTTGCTGTCAATTCTTTGGTTCAAACATCTCCTTATTATTACTTAATTAGTTAAAAATGTTTTTTTTAAAAAAAAACATATTTTTATTTATTTATTTAAGAGTGTGGTATCATTGACTAATGAGTAATTGTTGTTATTGACTAATGAGTAATTTCTGAATAAAAAATCTTAATAATACCACAATAATATATATACTCTTATAGTATCATTGACTAATGAGTAAATTTTGAACAAGAAACAATTTAGTATCAGTTAAGCAAAAAATATCAACCTTAATTAATGAGTGGGTATGGACTGTAATTATTTATAAGAGAATGAGTATTTCAGTATATGATATATTTATGTATAGTTCCCCTATATATTAGGTATATAATATACATATCTATGCACAATATATGCATGAATTAGTTAACCGAACAATATGTATGAATAACTTTTCTATATGTAATATATATTTCGATTATATTAAAAAACTAATTAATCGAATCATATATATCATAATTTTTCTCGAAAAATATCAAAATGATGATAATACTGCATGCAAAAGTTTTTATTCCATTCATCTCTCTTTTGATCCCCACATTTTTCATCTTATTTGACTAAACACATAAATGTATAATTTTGCTCCTTTAAGCAAACGAATATTGTTACGTTAAGTAATGAATGAATTTTGTGTTTCTAAAACCAACAAAAAGAGAAGAAATTAATGAGACAATTCTCCTTCGATATTTACATCACCACAATAATAAGTTGACTTTGAGAAAGCACAAACCTAAAAAAAATATTTTTAAAATATAAGCTATATATCGATTCATATTAAAATGAGCAGGTCAATGATCAATTCAAACTTAAATAAGTTAACGAATTATACTTTTATTTTTTATAAATTAATTTTATCATTTCAAATCAAGACAATAATCTTCATTCAAAATATAGTCATATTTCTCTTGTTAAAATTAATTTAACCAATATTACAGTAAAACAAAATTAAATCAACTCAATATATTTCATTAAAATTCAGACAAGATCCATTTTGGTAAATGTGAGGTGATAATCTTTAGCTGTTCATCATCAAAAATTTATATACCTTTTTTCTTTATAATTTTGAGAAAATCAAGGAATAAAAAAGGGTGTTGAAATAAAGGGGATAAATGGATGATATGATTGTTAAGGATGGGTAGGGTAGGAATACTGATCATTAGAAGAAACAACATAATTAAGCATGACCTTCAAATGCAATTATTTATGTCCCATCTTTTATATATATATATATATATATGTGTGTTGTGAGTAAGGTACAAAGTTAATAATTTTGGTATGAAGTAAGCTAAATTTAGTAATTTTTGTTTAAATAATATATTTATAAAAATTTGTTAAATATTTATAAATATTATACTTAGAATTCAATTATTAACACTAAAAATTATTGTTATAAGATTCAATTCATAAGATAATGTAGGTGTGTCTTACACACACCTTTTCGTACTATTTTACTCAACTTATATTGACTTAACTATTTCTTTAAAAAGAATGTTTATGGAGTAGTATTTATTTTACTAAATGAGCTTTATTAATTATATTTTAGAATTTTAAATTTGATTATTATTATTTAATGTTATTATGTGATACAATGAGTATGGAAAGAAAATAAATGAAATTTTCTTGATCGGTTCAAATGAATAAATAAAAGACAAAATAAATAATTTTAGCAAAACAGATAAGTATATAGCACTTTATTATAGGATTTGCCTTTTAATGATAAGAAATTATATGAACTTTATGTCGAATGAAAAAAAATATTTAACTTCGACAAAAGTTAAAAACAACACAAAATATAGAAAATATTATTTTTCTAAACCCCATCATATATACCCCACGGCTCATTATGAGCATGTTTGGCTCAATTTAAAAGCTGATCAAACTGACTTAAAAGCTGATTTTTGACTTATTTAGCTGTTTGACAATATTCAGATTATTTAAGTTAAAAAAAACTTATTTTAAGCCAAAAGTTAAAAGCTGGGGTAGGGGTGTTTTTTTTTAGCTTATACGCTGTTTTAAGTTGACCACATTTTTATCTTTTTGCCCTTAATATTTTTATAAAATCTCCAAATTACCCACATAACCCTAACATCTACTTCTTTCATTTTTCCCTTTTCACGTTTGGCATAGCAACTTCAGCATTTTTACCCAAACACATAACTGCTTATTTTAAAAATAAATTTCAGCACTTTCAAAAATACTTTTTTAAAGCTACTTTTATTAAACCCATCCAAACGGACCCTATATCAGACACATTAGTGTAGTACCTTTTTACGCATTAATTATTTTTTAGTTAGCACTATTTCAAGTCTACATAATTAAACAATTGATTTGTTTTTTTTCTAAAAGTGGACTATTTTTATAAACGAATTCTTGAATCTTGAATATATA